AAAAAAAACAAAAGCTTGATGGTCCATTAATCAATAAAATATTGATTTAGTATTTAATGACATGTTGTGGTTCAAGTATAAGATCAAAAAATCCTCACCAGCATTTCGTTCAGGATCTTGTCCGAAGGAAATGTAATCTGCAAGATCACATGGAAGTTTTATTCGTCCTGTACACATTGCTCGACGTGTAGGACATTCCTGTGTATTGCAGTGTTGTGTCTGGAGGGAGGACCCTCTGAAAGATAGAAATTGGATAGTTTTAAAGAATCCCGTTACTTATTACTTACGGGCAGAGTCGATTGCCGCCATAACATCCACGAACGCGAGTGCTTAGACCTCCTCCACATGAGGCGCTACACGATGACCACGTACCCCAGATACCCCACTCAGCGCGCTCAATGGGCTTAAAATAAATATGCTGCTTCTCGATATTTGACGAAAAATAACAGAATGCATCAGATCTGCTGAACTACGCAAAGGATTTTTAGGAGAAAAAAAATCGGTACTAACCCACTTACAATGCACGAAATCTCAAAAGCTTGATCTTCACTGAAACTTTGCTCAAAGCGTTAATTTGGCATGTTTTATGAAAATTACTTATTTCAAACGTTACATCTTTTCATAGAATAAGTGTGCCGTAGGTGCACACTAAGGCGTAAAAATTACGGGCCTCAAAATGCTCCAGTAAAGTAATTAATAAGCTAATCACGAATATGATTTTTGCTGCGAACATAAAGTCTTACTCTAGGATTACAGTAGGTAGACATGTTTGGTCGAAATCGTAATTTTGATTCCTTTTAGCATATATCCACCGTAATCTCAGAAGGCCCCACCGTGAGGAAAGTTGCATATATAAGTGTAGTTATGTGATGAGCATGTCGACTTATCCCATATTGTCAACTTTCAGGGAATTCTGTGGTTCTGATCCCTTACTGTCTACAGTAAGACACTATTATGTGCAAACAGCAGCACTTAACTCTCTTTCTCTCTCTGAGCAAAGTTCCAGTAAAACCCGGAATTTTGAGATTTTGTGACATTGTAATTGGAACAGCGCCAAAAAAATCTGTGCATCT